GTCTCAGCTAGTGGCCACAGCAGGACTCGAACCAGGCACCACCAGATTGCGAGGCCGATGCTACAGTATGACCACTTTATCATGATGCCCCCCTTACAGTATAATAATAATAATCAATTTTTCTTCGTCATTTCCTAAGGTGAACTGGATGACTCCAATGTACTGACATCACAACATGAGGTTATTTCTGGTCTTCTAAGGGAAGAATTTGGATCAGGATATCAGGATAATATGTACAAAACAGAACCAAGGAKCCAAGCACCACCAGTCAGGTTAGAAACTAATAAGTGGATCTTTTATAATATATACACGCCAAATCATACGTTGTATCTTTCTGTCTCAACAAAAAAAAATTGGCGGTTATCAATCAAATTGTTTCCATGGTATTGTCGGAAAATATACCTTTTCGAGAGCATGTGCCTTAGTATGGAATTTTGGGAAAATATACCTTTTCGAGAGCATGTGCCTTAGTATGGAATTTTGGGAAACCGCCACAAAAAATTGAGTTTGTTGCGACAGCAAATACTTGTACGATGTTGTGTGTGTGATTGGAAAGTGTGTTGTAAAGTGATTGCTCTAAATTTTATATTCTTGTATGTTGGGAGCAAGTGYTTTATGAGAGCACACAACATGCACTGCACACTTTCAGTTTCATCATTCAATGTAATTTGTATCTTATAAAAGAAATAAAAAACTTGCTTGCTGTGCTGTGCTGTGTGGAGATATACAGCTGTACAGCTGTAAAGCACTTGGGGATTGGCAGATCACTCRAGAAGTGTCGAGGAGCACTCCGCTACGTGTCATGCTTCTCCTTACATCTCTCTCRTGTTCTGCCAACCCCTGCGTGCTTTATAACTGCACACAATATGCGCATGCGTTTTCTATTTCTTCAGTAACCTCACTATTTTATTATAATTTGTAACAAAAATTTTATTTTAAAATGCAATGTAAACTCACTGTTTTATTTTGTAGTGTTGGACTTGATTCTCAGAAGATGGCATCATCCTCCTCCTCTGTCTTTGCCAGACCCGGCTACAGCAATTATTCATCCAGTGTAGGAGATACCAGAGATGACAGAAGTAAACTGAACAAGCTCACTACTAATTCTGGACATGATGCTGATACATCTGAGGTAATGATGATGATGATGATGATAATGATGATGATGAAGATTATCAATAAATGATGATGAAAATAATGATATGATGAAAACAATGATGATGGTAATGATGAATGGCTAATACTTGGATTTTACAGTAACCACAACATCAGTCTAAAATACTATCRTGTAAACCAAAGCTCCAGTAAATATGGACTGTTATTCTATTCAAAGGTCAGTGATTCCACCAATGAATTGATAAAGCTTGGCGAGACAACTGGCAGTTTGCACTCTTTACGGGATAAAAGAAACCGAACCTATGACCTACCCACGAGAGATAAACAGCCAGTGTGCAGTGATATGTGGTCTCATAGTACATCTATCACAGATGGAGGGGACTCGGACGATTTGACGCAATATACCCTCACGTCTGAAGAAGGACAAAGAGATAAGGTATTGTGAGCAGGTTTAGTGAGATCAACTTGTTTATAGACCAGGACACTATTGTAAAAGTCCTCGCTAAACACTATAAAATAAAAAATAGTCTTAGAAAATCCCTTGTAAATTTAAAAGTGTAATATTTACATGTATCAAATTTCCAATAGCTCAAGTTAGTGTTTTTTGAATGATAAAGGCAAAGGTTACAATGTTGGTCAGATATCAGTACACCATTTTCGCATTTGATGCGTACGACTGTTTTTGAAGACCACAGACCTATTTGCACAGGTTTAGCCTCGTTTATCTGTACAGTAAGCTATTCACAGATACCATTAGAAGTCTGTTGGATTTCAAAACATTGGTATTGTTCAACTTGCGCATTCTTTACATTAAAGTTGATTTTTGCAAATGATTAGCTTTTAAACGAGGCTAAGCTTGTGCAGTCATAAAACACAGTTGTGTTAATACCAAATAAGAAAATGGACTATAAATATGAAAATGGAGGATATAAATGAGTAAATAAATATCGTACTTTTGCTTTTGTTCCTATAGCCCTTAGATAACTTTTCTAGCAGCCTTCTCTCAAGCACTTCATCATACAACCAGCAAATATCGCCACTAGACTCTGGAACAGACGAAGCAAAGCTGGCTTCACTTGGCATGAGGCCAAGGGTTGATGTTGTAGCAACTGGTGCTGCTGATCAAGAAGGGAGTGAAAGTGGGGGAAGYGGACGAAGTACCCCAATGTTACATCATCATTATCATCATCATTTTCATCATCCTGTTGGATCTGATGTAAAACAAAATGATAGAACAGGTATGTGTATGTGTATGTGTACACGGGTGTATTCAGGGGGGTGTAGAGTGCTCGTGACCCACCCCCCCTCCCCCCAATTCTCATTGGTATATTTGTAATATTTTAGTGCTTTGGGAGTTAGCACTTGTTTACATGAACCAAAAGAACATAATTTATTGGACCATAATACAATAGAATGAGGCAGTAACACAATAGATTCATTTTGACACTCAAAGGTCCTTTTGGCCCTTTTGAATGAGTGCTTACCGTTTTGGAGTAGGTAYATATATGGAGGGGCCGGCAATGCTCAGTTAGAGCTGTAACACAGGAGGCCTGGTATACAGCTGTAGGTAAGAAGAATAGAGACATGCAGAGAAGACTAGTCTAGAATCCTAACACTTTTAATGTATGAATGTGTATAGACCATGTGTCATTCCCTAGAGTATCCTTTCTTTGTTTAACGGTTGCACTCAGTTGCACATGAGAAGACACATGAATTTGGATACAGCTCCAACAAAGAATCTAATTCTCAAGGTAATGACACATGGTCTGAAATGAGACAACATTACATGTACAGTAAACCCAAGCCGAGGAGGTCAATTGAATCTGATATTAATCTTTTGATTACTACGCAGACATTCCTGGGGTAGATAGCACTAGAGGGGTCCCAGGCACAAGTGGTATCCATCCACACCATTTGCAGCCTAAAAGGTTAAGTGTTCCTGGTCCAAGCATCGATGTACCAAAAGAAACAATATCAGGTCGCACTATTCCAAGAAGTGGTCTTCCAAATGCCAGTATTCCAGGAACTACTGTACCATTGCCAGATCGTTYTGCCCCAAGACCTGGTATGGACCCAAGTTATAGTATTATCACTAGTTTTCCAGGAAATACAAGACAATTGCCAGAGCATTCTGCTACAAAATCTGGTATCCCAAGTCACAGCAATACCACTACTTTTCCAGGAACTACGGTACCATTTCCAGATCATTCCACTACAAGACCAAGTATCCCAAGTACTAGTATTCCAGTAACTAAAAGACCATTTCCAGAACATTCTGCTGGAAGATTTGATTTTCCAAGCACGAACCTTCCTGGACCTAAAGTAGCATTTCCAAGTCGTTCTTCTCTAAGGACGGAAATTCCAATACCTAGTAGAAGCAGAGATGTACCTGTCTATTCTACCCAAAGTACCAACGTTCCTGGACGTGATGCATACATGCCTGGCMCACAGGGTCGTACTGGGAAGATGACATCATTGTCAAGTACTGCCCCGTCGTTACTAAGAACAGGTAACATACCTTTAAAATRCCGTGCATTCCTTGATWACAGACWCATTTGCACAGGCTTAGCCTTGTTTATAAGTCAGCTATTTGCCCCACAGRCACCATTAGRAGTCCGTGGGATTTCAAAACATTGGTATTGTTCAAGCTGCACATTCTTTACATTACAGTTGACTTTCGCAAATGATTTTCTCTTRAGCGAGGCTAAGCCTGTGTAGATGAGTCTTCAGCCTTAAAACACAGCATTATTTACGATATAAGAAAAGGGAATATATCTAACTATTATCACCTTTTAGTAAAAATACACAGGTGATTATTAGAAATCTCGCGCGCTGATTGGTCGAGAAACTCATACTATCACACGATAATCACCTCCAGCAATAATCCAAAATGGCGGCCAGCCGCTTTGTTGCTGTTACTGGGAAAATTGTCTTTTATCTTCTTTTTTTTTTTGACAACTTCGTTTCGGTTATTATTCCCCTATATTAAGTTCGCCGTCGGCGAATAACTGTTAATTAGTAAAAGAGAAAAAAAAAAAATAGATATTTTCATCGACGATTGTATGTTAAATTCATTTCATAAATCTGTTTATTTTGCAGCAACAGATCCACTGAGTTCAGCCGGTACTGGACGATTCCCTTCCTCTGGTGGCTTGAGTGACTCGGTATTCACATCTTCAGATACTGCAGGCTTAAGTAAGTACTATAATCAGTCAGGATGGCGTGGTGGGAAAACGCTCACCTCTCTCGCCTTTGAGGTCCGGGGTTCGAATCCCAGTCACCCCATGTGAGCTGAGTTGGTTGGTTCTCTTTCTTTTCCTTTTTTTGGTTGGTTGTTGGTCCTCTTTCAGACTCCGTTTTTTCCGGCTTTTTCGGTTTTTCCTCCCTCCTCCCAAATCAACTCTAACTAATAGGCCCTTTGCAGCTAAGCAATCACGTGCTGATTAATTCACTGAGAGCAAATGAATGAACATCTTGATTCCTATRGGTGAAATATACTGGTGAGCAAACAAACTTTCTACAACCTGTTTCGAGAGATCGTAATAAAACTGCATTTCTTGACACACTGGTTACACATCGTTTCATTCAGTTCTTTACAAGTAGCTAAAAAGAATCGCCAATTTAAAATGAAATAAAAAAWTTTGCTCACCAGTACAGTTAACTGCAAAGGGCCTATTCAAACTGGTTAGAGCTGTGCTCCGGTGTCATACATGGACTGTATAGTGGCTGTCAGAGGCACCTTCACATGCTTTCAGTTCGACCCCGTTRAGCTGCGCCACTGCTGTACTTTGCGGTGGTGATTAGCGATGACAAGTGTTATTTATAGTAAGATCTATTTGTTATAGGAAAACCATATGTCTCTTATTTAAAGAAATCTCGTGGGATAGGACATGAACAGGATGAGCAGAGAGAGAGAATGGAAAACCTGGTAAATATGTACACAGAAGTTTTAGCTAAAAGTTTCAACGGGCAATAGTCCTTCGTTCCTTCGTTCCTTCGTTTCTTCCTCCCTCCCTCCCTTCCTCCCTCCCTCAGTCTTCCTCTTTCTTTCTTTCCTTTTAACTTCCATTTTTTCAACTACAAGGTAACATTGGATAAACCCAGCACAAGTAAAGACACTCAACAAACATCTAGACTTACCAAAGAACCTTCTGTCACACACGAAAAAGCGAAACACCCCGAAGACAAACACACGAACATGGATAGCGACAGTGATGGGTCTGACAGCGATGACAGTGATGTTGCAAGGCACAGTGATAGCGCTATAGGTTTGTTCGAATATCAAATTTTTTTTGGATGCATGCAACAGTTTCTACTTCTATTTAATCACCGCGACTTTTAGTCTTGCTTTTTGGATCCCGTTATTCAAAATTAAGACAATTTTATCAAAATC